AGTTATCAGTTGCCCCGCTGCATGGGTCCCCTGGCGATTCAGGACAAATTGAGAGAGAGCAAAGCAATTCCCCAGGAGTTTAGTTTAATTTCTTCTGTCAGTGAACCATGTTAACCCCCAGCACCATCAGGAAATTAAGCTGCAAAAGAGGTTTAAGGTTTCTATAGAAAATGAAATGAAATGTTGCCTGTAGTTTTCATCAGCCCACTGCTCGGAAATTCAATAAAGAGAGAACAATATTTCAGAAATGTAAATAAGGTGCTCTGTGCGCAGGAAGAGCATGACATATCAGCGGGGGAGATGCAGCTTGAACAGGACATAATTTATCATTGAAACAGCCTCAACAAGGGAGTGGAAATAGGGGGAATGGATAGACAGAAACATTTAAGGGATTTCCTTGACAACATGAGTCCAGTTCTCTGCTTGATTTTTCACCTGAGTGTGGTCTGTTTATCAGAACTTTCATAGGCCTCAGAAAGAAAAGTCCATAGAAAAGTCATCTACAGTAACTAAAATACATTTATCTCAGTCTAGGGTTTCAGGAGGTGGCCCTAAAGATTCTAAACAAAGCCATGTCTTCATCTGACCTCCCTGACACTGTTGATGTAAGTGGGACATGCAACTGCTGTGCAGCTGTTTTTTGGGATTCTTGGTCTACACAGTCCTGGTCCCAGTGCTTCACATCCCCATACCATTCTAGGCATGCTCTTGCAGCCAGGTTGCTCTCTAGTTTGCCTTCATTTTGTGGATTATCATGTAATCCCTGATATTCATCAGCCAGGAGGTCAGAGGTTGTCTTATTACGATTCCACAACATTACTCTTATCGGGTTGTGAATGAAGTAGATTGTTCTGATTTATGGGGTTAAAGAGAAGAGCAGAAGCATGGTTCAACATTAGAATGACAACTCTGATGATCTTCCTCCTTTAGCTCTATACGCTGCAGCATATGGTCTCCACCTTACTGTGCTATTTTAAAGCGTTTTAACACGCCTGATGAGCGTTATCTTTACAGAAATACCTTAACATTGCATAGTGTGCCATGTTGTGAAAAGGTCATTTGCATATCCTTTTTACCTTACAGCTCTCAGTGTACTTTGATACACAATATGTAGAAGAGGAATACTGGAAATAAAGAGCAAGTGATTAGCTAAAGATTATTCCAAGAGAGTCAAAAGTCAAACATAGATCCACTATAAACATAGATGCCACATAAGCCTTGCATGCAAACAGGTGTGCTTTTGTGTTTTGTAGACGAGTATGGAAGACACCAGCAAAGTGACCTGTTGTGCTGTAAAAGAAGGGGCCTTATGCAAGAAAATAGTTGTGACCCCTTCAGTTTAAAACAGTTTCTAAAGAAGAAAAGGCTCAAGTATGTTAATACTTGTTAATAATAAGTCATTATAACTCAGCTCTGTTGCCATGAACTGCATTCAAATTGAGGTGGCTGCGGCCACAGAGCAGAGTATTAGAACTAAACAATCACAGCCATTTAGTTCCCAGAGGGCCCGGATGTTGTAATAGCATATTTTTAGTTTTGAAGATAAAACATAGGATACTATGTGAATGTTGTTTCCTAAAGACCTGTAAATATATATATACACACAGTCTGGATTCAACAAATCTATATGTACAATGTATATTTACAGGTATTGCACAGAGGGTTGATTGTCCAGACATACTGTTGTGGGTCAAGTATTCATCAGAGTGATCGCCTGGGGGAAGAAACTGTCCTTTTGTGTGCCTAATTGATGTATGCCATGATTGTAAATTGTGAAACCAGATGCATATCACTGACAAGGAGGTTACAATGAAAAGGGAATGAAAATTTAATGATAATCAAATATGGATAAGCAGGTGACAGGCAGGTAACAGGAGCACATGGGTATGAAGACTTATTATGGCAAGTATAGCAAGGTGGTAATATGGTTGGCAAAAGAAACGACAATAATACAACACGGCTAGCTTGGGAAAACAAAATACTAGTAATATGAAACAAATTTACTGGCAGGTAGTCAACTGGAGTGAAGCAATAAACACACAGAGTGGTTACTGAGTATACAAATCAGGGAACAGATTATGATCACAGGTTCATAAACAGTTCATATAACAACAGATGACTAAAGCTCATATACAAATCAGCCAGACATGGAACTAGGGACAAGTACTGACCAGATAGAAGAACGTCCATACACAGGAGTCCAGCATTAATAATGGGAAAAGCAGGGTCCAAGTCCAAGTAAGAAAACAGATCAAAACTGGGACAAGTAAAGAGGACAAACGCTGGAATATTATGCAAGATGAGTTCACAGATGACAATCTGGCAATGAGACAATGCTGGCTGCTGGCTTAATTACTGAGTAAATAATTGAGTAAAGACAGGTGGTGCAAGCAGGGTGAGGTGTGGCAGGTAGCAAGAAAGGGAAAATGGAGACACAGGCTGGGTGTGACATCAGAGGGAAAACAAGGGGTGGAGACAGGACAAAGACTCAGATCATACCAGATATTCTCTTGTAAACAGGGCAAAACTGAATATCAGTCAATAACTAAAACAGAGTGCAGAGACAGTCACATGTGCCATTTTTTGCATGTCTGTTTTTGATATTTTAAGTGCATTTTGGTGATAGTACTTCTGCATTTGTACTTTTTAGAATGCAGTTTTACTTGTACTAGAGGAGTTTTAATTTATTATACCTGTATTTAAGTTAAAAAAAATTACACTCCTTCCACAAATGTTCAAACACCCTTTGGTATCCTAAAAAGAAAATGTGCAGTACATTCACATTTGAATCTCAGAAAAGACATTGTGCAGTAGATAAATCAATTTAGGATTTTCTCTCAATTACAACATGCAATACTTAGATTTAATTAGAAAGAAAAACCTTGTTGCACACTGTAAATCATCTAAATTTGAGTAGCAAAGTTTTCATGCAAAGTTTTCATGCAAAACACTGTCTGGCTCATTGTGTTACCACAGCAACTACACAACAATCAGTCAAACAAGAAATACCATACAAAAACATGTGTAATCTATTCCCTGAGCTACAAAAGTGGAAATAAATCAAATTGAACATTTATTTAACAGAGATCGCATTATGTCAATGTGGATGTCACCTTCATCGACGTTCTAGTTATTAGATGTGGGCTGAAGCAACCACCTGCTTCATGTAAAGCAGCAATGCAAACCATAAGTGACATAACTGACAAAACACTGTGTGTGTCTGTGTGCACATGTTGCAGGCAGACAGACAGAGCCTCGTTTTGTATTCTATTCTTTTTATTTATCCTCTCTGGGTCTGGATAACTGCCTGAACAAACTTTGTCAATGAGGCTTTAGCTGCATTTAAACAAAAGCTTTTCAGTAGAGTCCAGTTTACACTCAGGACTCATGAGTAAGTACAGACAAGCAGTTTTACACTGTAAAAATCTCTGTTTAACTATTTGTTGTATTATTATACTTACTTACTTAATTACCTTCTAATGTGGTACAGAACATTTTCCTTCTGAGATTCATATTTTTGTTACACATGGTCCCTGAAATTTAATAAATTTAATAAAATAAAGTAAAACTAAGTCATCCTTCATCCCTCTTAGCATAAGGCTAACTTTAAAAAAAACATAGCTTTATGCTAGGTTAGTTATAGTTAAAAAATAATTTATTTATTTTAATGCAACAAGTCAATTTTACACAAGGCCAGGTATGGGAATTTACCAGCCACTTTTTGCTAAAAATCACAAAGAAAAACTTTTGATAAGTCATGTAATGTCAGTGGCAGGTTAGAAAATATATTTAAGATGATTGTAAATAAAATTAAAGACTACCTCTTAACAGAGCAGTGTATAAGATTTAGAAGGATTTGTTAGCAGAAATGGGCTATATTGTGCATAATTATATTTCCATTAGTGTGTAATCACCAGAAAATAAGAATTGTTATGTTTTCTTTAGATTAGAATGAGCCTTTTATATCCACAGTACATAGGAGCGGGTTCCCTATCATGGTGACCACCATGTTGAACCATCATGTTTGTTACAAACAAACCACACACTGGCTCTAGAGTCTAGAGTCTAGACCATGAATTTCATGTTTTCACATTGAAGTAGTAGCTTGGATTTGGAGATTTGGAAAACAAAGAAGTAATATTAGAAACAAGAGGAGGCATTGTTGTGAGTTTATGAACTATAATTCAAATAAATGAAGGATGATAGTTATACTGTGACATAAAAAAAAGGAAAAAAGTGAGAATCCCCGTTGTCAAAGAAGCAAAGACATGAAGAAATGGACACAAGACGATGATAAATGTTCTGGCCTTTCCTTGATGAGAGACAAATATTTTCAGAATGATGCTGAAGCTGCCTGTTTTCTGGTGGACATGTAATTTAGCATAACAGGTAAAGTTAACAAGTTAAATGCATGTTTTAGTTTGATAGCTTTAGCTAGAACATGCCCACTGCTGAGTAAGTGAGCTGCCTTTAGTTTTTGCTTGGTCTAGTCAACTGCATTTGTTTTCCAAGTGCACAATTTGTCCTACATTATCAGTAGCTGCCGTGAACCACCTGTAAAGGCTGTTTAACACAATGTATGAGAGCTTTATTGAGCGTTACAATGTGTAACTCTGCCACTAGATGTGATTGAATGTCACACACTGCACCTTTAATTTTTTATTTTTTTAAGCAAACTGATGCTGCTTTTTAAGACCTTTCTTCGACTCCACTGTATCTGACTCCCCCAGCTAGAACATTACAATGCTGCTGTTTTTACTTTCACTTTAGAGGACTGAATCTTACTTCACCTTGAGTAAGCTATCAATTACACATTAACCTTTAGGTAAGTAAATACTGGTTCCACAGTAATCCACAGTGGAACTGCCCTTACTGTCTTGTTTTTACAGTGTAGAATAAGAGCGAGCCAGAGATGGGAAGGGAAATAGAGGGAAGGCGGAGGGTGAAAAGTGGAGGAGGAGGAGGAGGAGGAGGAGGAGGATGATGGTCTTGCTGTCAAACACAGATGAAAATACAACAGCAGGTATCAGGAGGACACTCCCGTTAGATAACAGCATTTATTCTCTCCTCGGGACCAATGGAAACGGAGCGCCGAGCTGAGGACGGAGAAAACACGGGCTACTAATTTAATTCCCTCCAACTGAACACAGCTGCCTGAGAGGCGACGTCTGCTGCAGACCAGTGATAGTGAACAGACACACAGCGACCCTGCAAACTTCAGAGTGGATCTATGAACTGTATTAATACCCCGACTGCTGCTGTTCATCGGGCTGATCTCTGAGCGTCTGTCTCTGGCGCTACCAGTCGATGCTCAGATTAATAATAAGAGCAATTATGCAGACGGAGATTGGCTTGAGTCTTAATTAGTGAGAAGCATCTTCAATATAGCACCTACTGAGAAAATGCACAGGACAAATAACAGAGACATTTAAGAGCTGAAGCAGCCCACCTGCGCCTCTTAAGGTTAGTGATTGCTTTTTAACTGGGGCTTTTCACTTTTATTACATAGGGAACAATAGCTTCATTTAGCTACTACACTGAAGTATCCTGCAGTATAAAGCAACTTTAACTCGCTACAGGATTTTAATTTAGGCCTACCTTTATTTAACTAGGTAGAAGTCGTGCTGAGACTAAAATCTCTTTTTCAAGCATAAGAGCATTAGTAATAAAACAGCATAAACAGGCTGACACAACTGACATACGGGGCATCCAGTTGCACGCAATTTATTTTCATTCTTGTTTCCAGTTATGTCTCATAGGCTAAAGGAAAGCTTCATTTTATTGTCCATTGGTTGTCATTCTGAGGAATTACACAGCCTTAAAATGATTTATAATGATGCACACATCTTGTCAAAAACGTTTTCAAAAAACAAAATAGGCAACTGCAGAATCTAAACAATTACAAGGTTGTAACTGGGTTAATTGGGTTAATGTTTTATATTACCATGCATTTAAAACGTAGAGGCCAGTTTGGGGATGTTTTATCTGACATGCAACTAATACTGAACATCAAATACAGGATATGCTGGAGATGTACTAGCAATGTGCACAATATATCCATCATCTTAATAACATAATAGTTTGAAGGTTGGTAGGTGGGCTTGTTAAAGTTATACCAAAAAAGACAGTAGATGTAGAATATAATGTGTGTGAAAGATTTTTCAGATACATTTGGAAGCCTATTTTGCTTAATGTAACAACTACATCATTTTATGTTTTGATGATTTATTTTAGCTTATGGTGAAAAATAACAATACCACACAGTAAATACTCTCTCACAAGTAAAGGTCCTGTATTCATAATTATATTTATTTACAAAATTATTGGAGGCAAACTGTAATTAAAGAATAAAAATTAAGACATAGAATGCCCCTGTCATAGTAAAATATTAGTTGAGTAATGTAATAGCTGCTATTCAGTAAGTAAATATTAGTAATAAGAAGCAGTTACTGAATAAAAACATTACATTTGATAGAGGTAAACATCACACAGAGGCACTTACAAATTTATCACTAGGTGGAGAAATTATAATTCAAGTTAGTGTATATGGTTATGTGCTAAATTTACAATATTGTGCTTGACAAGTATTTCATTCCAAAGGGTTCAAAACAAACAAACAAACAAACAAAGCAGCATACAGGCAGAGTGAGAGATTTGTGCATATTTGTGCAATTTTACTACAATTCAAAATAAAGGGTTGTTTCACCAAATTGAAAACCAAAATAGCATCTCTAATGGTGCTCTGGAGGGATGAAGCTGTCTCAGTGGTTTTTTTGGCTGGTGTCAGACATTTTAACCTTTCTGGGTCGTTCACACCATGATGTCTCAACAGAGCTGATGAGATTTGCTGAGGTCACGCAGCAGTTGAGCATCATCAGAGTCACATGAATCAAGGCATGAACTGGTGTGAAGAGGCAGAGAAATGCCAGGTTTAGAAGTGGAGTGGAAAGGTAGTTTTTCTCTGTGACTTTTCTTTTTTATTGAACAATTTCAAGAGCACATGTTACAAAACAGCATGTACACATAAGAAAGCTGGCAGTCAAATCCAGTACGAGAGTGGATGTGGTCTGATTGTATTGTATGTATGAGTCATTCAATTAAAAAAAAAACTGCAGGTGTATTGTTAGTAAAAATAAATAAATAATTAAGACAGCTGAATACTTCATGGCTCAGTTTTAGGTTTCAGTTGCTTGTTGTTGACTTTTGTTAAGGCCTTTGAAGGGTTTGGACAGTTTTCAATTTGCCAAAATGTAACATGTACAGACTGTACAGCAGTGGACCCAGGACAGAGCCTTGTGGTGCTCCATATGAAATGTTGGTTCTTGTTGAGAATCTTTGAACTGCTTTTACAGAACAATACATTTTCATAAGGACTTGATGTTAATTATTTGTTTTGTTTTGTGATCATAGTTTATTGGCTTCTCTGTGGACACCCCCGCATAGCTTCCTGTCAGCTGGACATACAAATACCGATTTCATCCAGTCAAACATCTTTCAGCCAGCATGCCCATCATCAGCAATGCCAACCATGACTTCAGCACCTACTCCATCAGCAGTGACGACAGCAGCCTCGACCGCTTCTTTACTGAGATCCCAGAGACTGAGACCATCAAGGGTGTGTACTTCCAGCGTGCCCAGCTGCTTCATGACCCTAAGACCTCGTATGTAGTCGACCACACCCTGCAGGTTCTCATTAATGTTGGGGGCAACCGCTATACCTTCCCTTGGAGCACCCTGGAGCAATTTCCCCAAAGTCGACTGGGACGCCTTCGTTTCTGCACCACCCCTGAAGAGATCGCCCGACTCTGTGATGACTACGATGAGACATGCCAGGAGTACTTCTTTGACCGAAACCCAACAGCCTTTCGAGTCATCCTCAATTTCCTGGCTGCAGGAAAACTACGTCTGCTTCGGGAACTGTGTGCTGTGTCACTCTATGATGAGCTCGACTACTGGGGTGTGGACCCAGGTCACATGGAACGTTGTTGCCGTCGGCGCATGATCACTCGTGTGGAAGAAGTGGCCGAGCGAGAGCGTAAGGAAGAGGAGTGGCGGCAGAAGAGGATGATGCTGAAGAAAAGTTCCACAGAGGCTGAAAAAGGCTATCGCAGACTGATCTGGCTGCTGCGGGAAGTGGTAGAGAATCCTCACTCAGGGTTGGCTGGGAAGATGTTCGCTTTTCTCTCTGTCATCATGGTACTGGTCACCGTCATCAGTCTGTGCATCAGTACCATGCCAGAACTCAGAAGTGAAGAGACCAAGGTGAGTATGAAGCTAAGAAATCTCTGACACTCACACTGTGCTGTTTAGAGAGGCAAAGAAATTTCACATTTGCGTTTTTTCCTGAATGTTTTCTAACATTTATATGTGGTGCAGCAGTGAAAAAAGAATTATGAGAAATCATTTCAGTCAGGCAAAACTTATCTGGTGCTTTGTACACCTGCCACCCACCTTGACCATCTCCCAGCACCTCTGGTGCCATTCATAAACGGAGCGCTTAACTCATTCTAAACAACATTGCTTCAGAACATAATTCATCCAAAGATGACCTTTGTTGTCATAGTGAAATTGGGAACACAATGTAGTTCTATCTAAACACAATTTCTAAGAGACAGGATTGGACAAACACACTGTATACTACCAGCGCCAACTGTCAAACACAGTTAGCGACTAGCTGGTGAAGAAAGTGGAACATTTAACAGCTAAAGAGCCAGATATTTCTCTCAGTTAGTGAAGACCAAAAGCTAAAAGAAGACTGAATATGTAAATGGACTACAAATGAATAATAATGTTTCTCTGTGTCAGCTGGATGTGTAAATAGGCAACTTGCTATTTGCCTTATCAACTTCATATTGTGGTAATTTGCCAGTGTTATATCTACAGGCTGTTGCTGTACTCCCAAATGGCCAAAAAGAAAAAAATGAATACATTTTAGAAAGAAGGTTCCTTCACATTTAAACATTCCTGAATAACCACCTGAGTCACATTTATTGAAAAGTCACAGTGGCAGTCTCATCATCGTGGCATAAGTCTGAACTGACTGCTGCCAGGTTACCGTAACATTGTGCATAGGATGTAGGATTTGAATATTTCTTACTGTAGTCTCTCCTAGTACAGTAACAGTAGTAGTAAAGTACAATAAGCCACTACCGTAAACAGTAATGACCCCCCCCGCACCCTGAATTCAGTGCAATAAATCTTTCAGCAGTCTTTCAGTCTGTTTTGCCGACACAAAGACATGTCTGATTTCATTTGAATAGTCTGAAGAATAAAACTAAATAACATTTTTTAAACAAGAGAAAACATTCAAAAATAATTCAGTCATGCAGCATGAGAAATAACCACAGTCAAGAATATAATTAAGGCTGCTTCATATTAAATAAAATAACCAATAATAAAACATTTTAAAAGTCAAGATTCAGCAGGTGAATTAAAATAAAATACATATTAATCAAAATAACTAAACTGATACTAAACTCCTCAAATGAATAACTTATAAATGAGTCTTAAAAATGTATTTACTACATACAGTGTGCGATGTTAACTCAGTGCTCCTTACCATGTTCACACATATGAATCCAAAATGCTGGGCAAGCATGGTACATGCTACCAAGATGTCTGTTTGCCCTCTACACCAGATGTGGAGAGAAAATGTAGAGTTCATTAAACCTGTGAAACTGATGCGCAGACGATGAGATGCATGCGTGCTGCATTAATTAAAGTATTTTTGTATATCTGCAGATCTGTTTGATGATCTACTGTATCAAATCAAGGCATTTGTTAAGCATACAATCACAACATACATCCATGCAGCACACACATATACCCTACAGCAGGGTCTGTGGAAGCCAGACATACGTAAACAGTAAAATATGTAGTAAGCTCTCAACATGTCGACAGGAAGGAACTTCCGATCAAGTTCATCTGCTATTCCTGAATATTATTTCTATCACAAATAATCAATTTATTTCCTGGAGTTGTATAAGAACTCTAGATTTAAAGTAACAATGTTACCATCTAATGAAACCTGCCTTTCACCCTCTTTTTCTCAGTAAACATAAAAGAACCCATGAAGAAAAGCCTGTGATTAACAAGATTGTAATTTTTTTTTGTTTCTCTAGACTTTTAGTGACACCCGCTCCCCAGTCGAAGGTCTATGTTCCTTTTCTCTGTCATCAGTCAACTATCTGACATGGAAATAGATTTTTTCCTACATTATGATGGATTCTCCACAGTTCAACAAACACTTTTTAACATGAAGCTTCAAAGAAATATTATGTTGTGTATTTTAAACCAAAAACTATTTAAATGCTGTGTAGTTGTACTAACAACACTGTTTTTCAGCCACATGAAATGATGTTATGAAAAACTGGGCGGGCGTGACAGAGAATACAATATGATGATATGAGTAAGTGGCTTGTTTTCAGAGACAAAACCAGAGGTAGTTATTTGAATTACTACCTTGCCAAAACAAAAAACACAATATAGTGCATTTCCCTGGTGAAAACAGTTATATGAAAGAGTGGCTGCACTGATTTTAAGAAAACCAAGGGATGTTTTTAACAAAGACACTGTGAGCTTTTTAGAATTCTGGACCCAGACGCTGAAACCAAACAGCAAGGTCTGAGAGTGTTTTTTCAGATTTAATGCAAGGTTCCGAGCATTACAACAGAAGCACCAGGTGGGTACACAAAACACTGAAAGTAACAAAGCCTTGAATCCAACAGAGGCTTTCTTCAGCAAAGTCTTTCTCCAAAGGTACAGTACACTGCAAACACAAGAAAATGACCTTAGACAAAAGCACAGCAGCAGAAAACTTGTACAGCGAGGTAACATGAACTTAGAAAAATGGCAGAAACATGAATTGATTTTGACCTAGAAGTCTTGATGCAGGGAAAGCAGAGACTGGCAAGTGAATAATGATGAATCATGACTTGCTGTATGTGCAGACAGGGAAATGAGCAGAGGAGCAACAGGTGAGGAGGGCGGATGCACACAGCAACAGCAGGAAAACAAACCACTCATTACAAAACTACAAAAGAAAGGATTTAAAATCATGCAGCAGAAGTATTTTTTGTGAGAAACTGTTGCTTAAATTGATCACATTTGGCTCCTTTTAATGGAAAATGTAAGTGTGACTTTATTTTAACTATATACAAAAAGAAAAAAGGTCTCTAGTCTATATATAAGTCTATAATATGAAAGTTCTGACCTTTTTAAAAATTGATTTCATTCTTCTTCTTTTATTCATTTTTTTATTTAATCTTTTTTAAACACATTTTCTTCAGATTATCCTTAAGAATACATGCTATAACATGCATATCTACACTCACCAGCCCCTTTATTAGGTACACCTGTACAATTGCATATAATTCACTGCGACACTTCCACCTTAACATCTGTGTTTATGAAGCTCAGAATGTTTCAGTTTTCAGTGAAATTGTCATTGACATTGTATTCAGAGGTGTCTTTATATTTGTGTCCTCTCCAGCTACATGAGAGGGTCAGAATATTAGAAATACTTCTGAATATAATATAGTCCAGTACAACACCATCTTTAACTATGACCTCAATAATAAACTTAATTGAATTTATACATTTATGACAGTTTCACCAAAAACTGAAACAGATGTTAAGGCGGAAGTGTTGCACTGAATGGCATACAATTGTACAGATGTGTCTAATAAAGTGGCCAGTGAGTGTATCTACACTGTATACATATTTGTATTTCATATTAATCTAAATCGGACTTTATAAAATTCAGTGGATGTTTTTTAAAAAGGCAGAAATGGGAGAGCCCTAGAAGCCTGATGGCTAGCATGCATGGAACATGACCTCAGTGTTTACAGTTCATTTCCAACTGGAGACCACTGATTATTGACAGGTTATAAGCCATCAATATGAACATTTGGGTTGCCAGGTTATGGAAAATCCTCCTCTAGCACTTAGCTTGTCTAATTAGTTTTTGAGACCTATGTACTGGCAAACAGTACAGAAGGAGACGTTTGGACTAAAATCCATTTATAAAGTACTTAGTAACATTTACACCTGCATACTTTATGGATTACTGTAGTACATTTTAGTAATGAGTTATTAACATTTGTAGGTGACTAACTTTTACTGATGGTTTATTAAAATTTGAGAAACCCATTATAAATGGCTTGGAGACATTTGAATCGGCATTGGACAGCTTATTAGATGGTGAGCAAGGTGGCACCCTATGTTAATGACGTCCTGACATTTTTACCTGCAGAGTTTCCACAACCAGGCAATGCAACACTGACTAACTGTACTAGCTGACTGAGGTTCATGTCTAAAATTGGTGGAGTTTAAAGTTGCTCTGTATATTTTCACCTCTGTGTCCCTGTGTCTGCAGGGCGAGTGCTCCCAGAGGTGTCACAACATGTTTGTGGTGGAGTCCATCTGTGTGGCCTGGTTCACCTTGGAGTTTGCACTGCGATTTTTCAATGCTCAGAGCAAACTAGCCTTTGCTCGTGGCCCCCTCAACATCATCGATGCCATCGCCATCCTGCCATACTACGTGTCCCTGGTAGTCAACGTCAGAGATGAGACACAGGAAGAAGTCATCATGGGTGCTGGAAGAGGCTATCTGGACAAACTGAGTCTGATCCTGCGCCTGCTGCGGGCCCTGCGGATCTTGTATGTCATGCGGCTGGCTCGCCACTCTCTGGGCCTGCAGACGTTAGGACTGACCATGCAGCGCAGCATCAGGGAGTTTGGCTTGCTGTTGTTGTTTGTCTGTGTGGCTGTGACCCTCTTCTCACCTCTGGTCCATCTAGCGGAGAGCGAACTCGCGCCATTTGCTGCCACACACCCGCACCACAGCTTCAGCAGCATTCCAGCATCTTATTGGTGGGCCATCATCTCTATGACCACAGTGGGCTACGGCGACATGGTGCCGCGCAGCATTCCTGGACAGGTAGTGGCACTGACCAGCATCCTGAGCGGTATCCTCATCATGGCGTTCCCTGCCACCTCCATCTTTCACACCTTCTCCCGCTCCTATCAGGAGCTTAAACAGGAGTATGAACAGCTGTGGAAGGAGGAGAGAGGTGAGGAAATAGCTGCTGAGTCAGAAGAGAGTTGGTCCAAGGTTGATTTGTCACCAGATGAGTTGATGCCTGCCGCCAAGCAAGAGGATGACAGATTGATGTCAAGCAAGAGTCATCAATCCACACTTCCATCTACTGCTTTCTAATGGACCCCAGCAGTCAGACACATTTACTCAGTAACTGTTAAACATGGTGGCCCATTACTGCATACTCCTATATACTGTTCAGACTCCAAAGGACTGTTACTGTATAAAGCAGACACTATACTAGACTTCGCATTTCTATTAATTCTGTGTTATCAGCTCCAACATCAATACATAAAGCTTTCAGCACACTCTAGTACTCAACGGGGTAGATAAGTACAAAAACGTTGGCAAGAGTACAGTAAAATATCAGCAGTGAAAGACAGCAACTACAAGCTCAGAGCAAAAGTCAAACCACAAACATCTCCTGAATGTGGTTGTTTCATGTCACAGATTGTTGAATTTTGGATGTTGGGTGGTCCTTAAATGCACCAACAAGGAGAGTGGAGAAAACCAAGGGGCAATAACTTCAACACACACACGTAAGAGAAATGATGATGAAACCTTCACTGTGATAGATTAAACAGCACAAGCACATTTCATGTCTCTGAAAAATTGATTTTACAGTCATTTTCCAGTAATCCAAGGCCACTTGGAAAGTAAGAGAGTGAAACATATAGTATGCTGTGAAAATTCACCAGTAGTGGTGCCTAAGATGTGTATTTAATGGGCTAAAATGCAATGCAACCACTTTGGTCTTTTTACGTGCAGACTGATCTCTTTGTACTTTCATATGTCTGTAGCTTCTTAAGTCTCTGTTTGTCAAACATCCAGGCATTTTAAAAACTTTTAACCATATTTGCTTTGAGTAAGTGAGATGCTGAGATAATGCTGCTTTATTGTCTGATTGGTTTCTTCATTCAAAATACACATTATGCACATTGTGCTCTACCCAGAGGTTGTATTACTGTGGCTCCCTACTGCAGCAGCACTACAAAGAAAGATTGATTCCAACCTCTAAGATTTCTGGATGACACTGCATGACTGAAAAAGGTTTATTAAGACTAATAAAGTGCCAATTGTCAAAGACAAATGGGCCATTAGACGTCACTTCACTGTGTTTCTAAGTGAAAGTTCATATGTAAAGCTTGATTTATGGTTGTGCGTTGAATCTACATAGAGCCTGTGCTGTAGGCTACAGAAGTGGTCTACAGCGGTGGGAGCATTTATACTTGTGTGCTGGTATGTCTGTGTCGCCCTGCGATTACACTGCCAGAACGTTAGCTGGCAGTGGTGTTTCTGTGCCACTGTGTTGCATTTCTTCAGCACTTACTAACAGTGACAACTGAAACTGAACGGGTCATGTTGAACAGTGGTTACTTTTACTGAAATTGCTGCAGCACAGATAATTACATTTCTGCAGAGGTGCATGTCAGGCTACGTCGTAGGGTATGAGGTTATACATTACCCACATTGTACCTACAGCATAGATTCAACACAGAACCATAAATCAAGCTTCAGCAGTCTGAGCCAGACTAATCAGTCTTCCAGTGATACAGTCATGTAAAATTCCCTTTTTGTTAGTCTATTCACTGCAGCTCAGCACAGAAACACTGCCTGGTGAACACAAAGAGGGAATTCAGTGCTAAATATGAACTTCTGATTAACTTCCTAATGCACTAAACTGGAAGTGAAATAATGGCCAATATGAACGGGGGAATGATAACGGCAAGCAAACACCGTGTCAGTGTTCATATGGACACCTGACTATTGTTACAGAGACATGAAAAAATGTGAAGCTATCTTTACATGACGGTAAAAACTTCCCCCATGGACCTTCAGAATAAAACAGGAGGCAGGACAGATAGTGTAAAGGAAGCACAATTTATTGGTTTTACCTAGTAAATAAAAGTACTGCTTAATAAGATGTACTGTGTCTTTTCTTGTACTTTGCACATAACACAATGAATTCGACACAGGCGTCTCATAAATATGTTTCCGCCACCTTTAAAAGGCCCGCACTCCTCGTACATAGGACCTCCAGACTAAAAGATATATGGTGTGTCGCTTTGTGATGATTTTGTGCCTTTTAATCACCATTTTGTGTCTTTGTATTGTCATCGTGCATCTCAATGCCATCACTGTGGGCCTTTTAAATGAGCTCAATAACCTGTGCCAGTAGGCCCGATCAGTGATCCATCCATGATCAGACATTATGCCAGTCCAATCTGAATGGTAACTAAAGTTAAAGTTACACACACACACACACACACACTTCATACACACACAGAGGCAGTCTAAATTGACGCACATAGCCTGGTTTCCAAAGAGCCCACCTGTCTGCCCACCTGCCTATCCAGGAAATACCTATGAAGGCCACATACCTAGAACACATTTCTGATTGGTTCCAGCTAGTGGGCGATAGTTGACTGATGTTTTACAAAACCTGACTTAACTTCTCTCTTTTGTCACTCACTGACTCTTTGCATTGAGTGAGTGACCTCTTGATCAAGACACTGGTATTGTCTTATGCTATTGTCTGATTTGGTTAATAAATTACAGAAAGGCTACCTGAGAGCCTCCTTACTGATTTCAACAACAGCAGTGTGTGTATCCTTGAACTCTAACAACATGTTGAATAGATTGTCATCCTTACAAAACATTTGAAAAACTGATTTCTCTGATTGGAAACCTCATTGTTTCCATCCATGTTTACTACAGAAGCTTGTGAGTTTGCTCTTCACTGTCTTTGCTGACACACATTGTGTTTATATATATATATTTATATATAATATAATGGTAGACCACCCCCTGGAACAAATAATTCGTCTGACTATTCCCATTTCAGAAATATTAATGCAGACTTATCTCACTCCGTCTTTTGATACATTTGAAACCAACTAAACTCTCCTCACACCGACATCTGTTGTTATTATTGACTGTGTTTGGTTTTTGAACACACAGATGGAACGTTTTGAAGAGCCTCTTTCTGTCTCTACAGATCTTCTCCAAATGGAGCTGCTGGCACGAGCGCTTTCTCTCAAACTACAAACAATGGAAACAGTGAAAAGCCCAGCAATCACTTGTTCTTCTCCCCCACCACTGCTTGTTTTCCTCCACCCTGCACCGCCTGCTGTCCTCAGGAAGGAGGCCCCAACACAGACTCTTTCAAACATCAACACAGGATGCTTAAACGTAGCATTAAGGAAATTATATTATTGATCTGCATGTGTTCATAAACAGCCTAAGATGAGTTGACCATCAATAAATACAACCAGGTTTAGAGGGAAGAGTAAACCAGCACCAAGTAACACATTATAAACATTAGCTTTAACATTGTGAATTTCAGGTAACCCTATGACTCACACACATCAGCCACATCAACAAAAATATTTGAGAGCCACTGGATTTTTACATAGGACACAATACACAATTTTATTTGTTGACTGTCTCCACCGACTGAGCCAGACTTGGACAGAATGGCTCCAACTTGGTTTCATCAACAGCAGGTCCAGATGCTGGGTGGCATGAAAGAGGAAAGGTGGGGATAGAAGAGCAGACAAAAAAAAACAAAAACAGAAAAAGTAGAACATGCATGTATTGCTTGGAGCAATTTTATTTAAAGTCAACCAGATTTGTCAGAAACGCTGATTTGAAGAAGGGGTTAATTATGGAATCCTAATAAAATGTTCAAGAATGCAGGCTGCTCATATTAATCAGTGCATTTAAAGGCCAGTCCACAACAGTGTAAAACACCTTGTGTTGGTGAAATTGGACATGCAATGATTTTTCACATTCCAGTACAACAGTTTGTCCACTCTGAGCATAAGAACATGAACATGACTAGCTCAGTTATATTGTGTACAAAAGTTTTTTTCTGCTGATAAATGTCTGCTCTACCTCCTGAGCCACAGCTGCTTCATCTGAAGCATCTGATCACAAACTGATTTCCAATAAAGGGGTGTCGGTTCATGAAAGAGTTTCACAAAGAATACTCTTCCTCCAGGCAGCCTCCTCACACCTCACAGCTGGAATAAGAGCTTTGGCACGTCCTTCCAGATGTCGGACAAGAACGACTTCTGGGTCGAGCAGGGACTGAGCAGTGATCAAATAAAGGAATTAGGATTTTCCCACTATGTGTCTGTTGTTCACATTTAACTCCTCCCAATGTCCACAAATAAAAAAATACAACTTTAAGACTTTGTTTAATTTAATGGACCTTTGACTAAAGAAAACATATTAAGAAAAGAGCATAGTGTAGGGGAACCCTGCTGCTGTTAATGGTGCATCAGGACAACACATTTTCATGACGTACACTGTCGTACGGAAACGTCTGCACCAACAGCTCCTGCATCAGCTAGATAACGTTTTGATATTATTATCATTAGGTTACAGTGCTGCTGATACTACTGTAATGTGTTGTATTTCTACCCCTGCAGACTTTACTTTTGGATTTCAACACAGATGCTCACTTACATCAACCTTTACATAATTATGGAAATGTTCAAATTTGCACAGATATTTGCATGGAAACCAAAACACAGACACTGTACTAGTCATTTTTCTAACTCAAGATACTGAAAACTAATAAAGTGCTGTAGAAGTATCAAACAGACTCAGTGTCTCACTCAGTATTTGCTCAGCGGCATCTGATACTTGACTCACGACCTCCAAGAGAGCAGGACACACAAATACAAAATTAAAGCTTTTATTCAGAAAGGGGCCGTCCCTCTTGTAGGGATTGTAAAAAGGCTGTACATTTAAAATATTCCTCTGTAAACACTGACAATATAAAAATAAGGCACAACTATCTCACATACATGCATGCACTGCAGCAGTTCATTATCATCACTCAATAACAGACATGCACATTTCATTAATGAAAGAATATAATTCACATGTAATTTTATAAACACAATGAAACAGCATAATCACTGTTTCGTTGGTGGTTCTTAACACTTTATTTGGTTGAGTAAGGCAGTTTGCTTTCTTTTCTCCAGCATCGTCTTCACCTCGGTCAAGCAGGGATTCTTACAAAACTTTCGATTTGTCACAGTTGTGATTCTGTAAGAAACAAAATAACACAGACATTACTACAAAGCAGCTAATACCAGCTGTGGTAAAAGAAACAAAGATCCACTAAAGGTGAAAGTCCGGCCATCAAAATATAACTTAAGTAATCATACAAAGGTATTAGCACCACATATAATCACAATCACTGTCACATGTCTAGTATGGAAGGTGTCTTTTGTAATGTTGAACCCACAGAGAATTAGTACCCAAATCTGCAGTTCACCTCAGCTTCACTGAGGTTTTAGCTGCTTTCAGCTCATTGTTTTGGTTTTGTAGGCCACAGCTTTTCTTTATGATTCACTCTCATTGCCCTGTTATTTTCAGTTGTATCAGGCAGCTGTTTTCACAGAAAATAAAGTTATAAAAAGCCACTGTATGTTATCTAGCATGAGCAGACATACGCTGTCAGAGACTACTGTAGCAGCTAAAGAGCCAGATATTGTTAGTAGAGACCAAACCAGAGGTAAAAGAACAGTGATTGTTGGTCTTACAGTAAATTGATCACACAGACACAAATATAACTAGCACTGAATGTTGCCATTTGTCTGCTGCACATGTAAATAAGCAACTGTTTACTAACATGTTAGTCATATCATTAGCAGGCGATACCGTCACCGTTGTATTTACAGCTGTTTTCTGCGAATAAGCCATCTAATGCAGGCTAAAAGTACCAAAAGTGCTCATTATGCAGCTGTTTGGCTCTTGCTGCATTATGGGCTTCTATACTGTTGGTCCGTAAAAGTGTGAGAAGCAGTGGATAAAAACTATGTTTCCATCTGAAATGTAGTGAAGCAGAACAATAACGTAGCAGAAGTACAGCACAGCAGAAAATGGAAATAATGAAGTACCTTTTTACAATCCTTAAGTAAATGTACAGAGTTATTTTCTATGGTGTGACACCAGAGAATCAGTGAGTGAACAGCTCCCCCTAGTGGAGAGACTGCAAACTACTAAACATGAAATTTAAAGTTGATGTGTCATTAGGTGATTTGCATCTAAACACTGCTGTAGTAATAAACAGTGGAAGAGGAAAGTACACTTACTCAAGTACTCCAGGATCGGTGCTTTGCTTAAGTATGTTATACATTACATTTCCTTCATTTTATCTGATTTGCTGTATATTTATACTGCTATACACATAGATTTACATTTAAAACATATGAAACCTCAGAATATGATACTGATTAATACATGATATAGAGTAGTTCAATTTATTTCATTTATATATACCTTTAAATAGCTTGTTTCGTTTAAAAAGCATCAATACTTTTCAATTAATATAAAAAATAAACATGTAAAACAAACAATAACAGTAAACAAAAACAAACCAAAACTTTTACATCACCTACATAACACAGATAAACCTACACATAGTATTTCTGAGGATATTTGCTGCTAATACTATATAAATATTTTAACAGCTTTTATTTGTAAAGGAGTATTTCACCCATTTTTTTCTAAGTAAAGGACCTGACAAAAAGGTAAATTTCAATTTGTCTCATTGTTGTAAAAACCTTTTGAATGCAAAGTCCTTGCAGTAACATTAAGCATTAACTTTATATACTTACACAATTGCCTCGAGTTTGCAGTGGCCAGGGCTCCTCCTCATCTGTTTGATCTTGGTTACAGGAACTCTTGCTTTATTGTATGAGTTACAACACATTTCCTGACGCCACACTTCTATTCCGACCTGACCTGTAAACACATAAATACACACACTGAATATTGTGTTTGCTAAATGCAGTTTAAATTCACATCTGTCAGAGAAATCAAGCAAAGTTACTGACCTTCAGAGCTGTGAAACAGGAAGCAGGTCAGAGTCATAAGTGCGAGAGCCGCCAGGGTTTTCATGGTTGCAGAGACAAAGACAGATGTTCTTCTTCTGTTTGGATGGAAGCCTTTAATGTTCAGGACTGATCTGTGTTGGAGACCTGCTCTGAGCTCCCTTTATATACATCCGATTGCTCCATTACATCTTGCACTTAGTCGGACAAGTTCTTAAGAACTGGATGGTGGTTTCCCTCCTGTTCCCTCCCCTTCTCTTTTCTCTGTCACAAGCGCTATTTTCTGCTCTACACAGAAAAGTTTGTAACGTAAAACAAAAAGCCTTACAGAGAATAAGATGTGGGATTTACCTTCTTGGGACATTACTGCCAAACTGAAAGATTTTCATTTGCAACCAGACACTCGGTTCATTCTGTTTATTAACTGATTAATTTGATATTTAGAAGACTGTCAGTTTGTACAGGCAGAACTCATCCCTTCATCCCAATTTATAGTGAAGATGCCTTGTTCTGTTCACACATCCACTGATGGGCATATTTTCCCACAAGTCCCGTGATAAACTCTCAACTTACTTTTAATTAAAACATCCAAATTAAGAACCAGCTTTATTTACCTGGAGTGATGAATGATGACTGACATTGTCTGATCAGTGACACTGAGCAGCCACTACAGAGCTTTCTGTTGTGAATGCTGTTTAAGCTTCAGCATTTTAACATTGTGTCAGAGACCATGTTGATGACATATT